TGTGCTAAAGAAGTTTTTGTGTATATGGGTGATGCTGGGGATTTAACCCAGAGCTTCATGCTAGATAAGCACTCTACCACTGACCAACACATACACATATACTACACACACACTGAGATTAAAGGCATGCCCCATTTTTTAAATTTTATATGTATATAACATTTTATACACACACACACATACATGCACATGTGCGCGCGCGTGGCAGAGGCAGATAGATCTCTGAGAGATCAAGGCCAGCCTGGTCTACATAGTGAGTTCCAGGCCAGCTGGGACTATAGGGAGATCCTGTCTCAAAAGAAGAAAAAAAAATTAAGACCTCAGTAGTTAGAGCACTTGCCTGGTATGTGTGAGACTCTGGGTTCCATCCTTACTACTGAAAACATGATCTCACTATGCTGTGTCCAGGCTGGCCCTGAACCTCTGGATTCAAGGGATCCACCTGCCTCAGCCAAATAGCTTGGTAAACTATAGGGCACACCATCATGCCAGGCATCATTCCTAAGAAATAAAGGTATCCTGATTTAGATTCAAAACTTCAAAACAACCCCAAGCTAACAATAACTGATGGTGTCTGAATTCTACCTAGCTCACAGGAATTTTAAAGGCATCAAGTATGGTAATGATAGCCCTGGCCTGAGCCACAGAGCTGATAATATTGGGATGGAAACACAGGTCTTTCGATCTCAAATTCTTTATTTTCCTAGAACCTCACTGTTTTAACTACTCAACAAACTTCAGCTAGGAAAGCACCAATATCAGTTATCACAATGCAAAAACTGCCAGAGATTGTACCCTATGGAAATGGTTCCAACCAAACACAGAAGTCCATCTAGTTCATACCTGCCATATGCAATGAGTTTTTAGGATATAATTTTCTTATCTGAAAATAAAGAAAAATTCTTGCCCAAAGAAAAGGTAGAATTTATTGGTAGAAAATGCCAATAAAAGTGTCCATATAACACTTTGAAATTCTAAACAGTAAGTGAATTATCACCCACTAAAATGTTGTCTTTACAAGCTAAAAAGGAAGAAAATTGAATTGGGCTTTTCTGTGTTTACCTGAAATAACCGTGCAATAGAGAGCAGCATTAGTCCAAATAAAAAACCATTGTACTGGAAATGAATATCTGGATGTAGGTCAAGGAAAGACGATACCAAATTCATAAAGAGCTGTACTAGCTGAATGATACAGTGCTCACACTTTCTTAATAGGGAAATTAAAGACAAAAATTTAACTTCCTTTGGACTTCCTATCAGGTGTTTTCTGTAAACAGAATCAAATCCTGGAAAAAGCCTTTAACTGAAATTTAAAAGAAAACCAGAAAAATTTTCCAAGTTTTTCCCCCTCCCCTTTCTATCTTAAAAGGCCCAGCAGCTAAGGAGCTAATTTTTACCAAGGTTAAAAAATGGAAGGCACTCAAGAGCTACTCTAAGCAAGAAGATACAGAGAGTTCTAGCAGCATGCAACATTCCACTGCTCAAATCAGGTCAGACTGAAACCTAAGTCTGGATATTTTCCACTACGCCTTTATGAAAATTGCAAATTAGGCTTCTACCATTAGGCATTTAAATTATATGCAGGTCTTTTGAATTTAGGAACTTTTTTAATATGTGGTAAGCCAAGATGACAGAAAGACATTATGTTCTGACTGATTCCACATGCAACACTATGATATACCCTTTCCTATAGAAGGCATTTAGAATAATGTGTTATAAAACTACGTAATACATAGATAGCAGGTAAATCTAAAGACAGGTCACAAATCTCAACAAATACACACACACACACACACACACACACACACACACACACACACAGAGAGAGAGAGACAGAAAAAGGAGGGAGAGAGATTATTTTATTGATAGCTTAACTGGTTCTCAAAAATCACTAACTTAGGAACAAGCATTCTAACCAGAGTCCAGTAAATTTGCAGCAAGCAGTTTTAGGAGTTAAGTAACCCACCCCAAGCACGTTTTCAAAAGCAGCTTCCATTAACAATTATCATTACAGAATTATCCTTATATTAGTGTATACCAGAGTGTGTGAGGGAATGGGACACAGACTACCAAGGATACGGTCTACAATTAACAACCCACAGTTCCACAGCAGCAACACGGAAAGAATAAACTTTGGCTTCTCTGTAAGCTCTTTGCTTGCTTTTTTTCCATCAATGCACTTACAGCACCTATGTGGACATACCAGGAAAAAAACAAAAATAACTTTAAGCTTCATTAGAACATCACAATACTGCACAGAACACTATGGTACTTTCTATACCCATTTCTGACACACTGTCCATATCATCCTTGGTTGACCTTCAGGTCAGTTCCACAGCTCCTCAGCTATGGCAATCAGAAACAAGTATTCATTTAATAAAACTCAAGCTAAAAAGCCAGGCATGGTGGTACATGCCTTTAATCCCAGCACTTGGGAGGCAGAGGCAGGCAGATCTTTGAGTTTGAGGCCAGCCTGGTCTACACAGTGAGTTCCAGGCCAGTTGGGGAACAGGGAGACCGTCTCAAAAATAAAAAAATTAAAAAAACTCAAGCTAAAAAAATAGCCACTTATTTTTTTCTTTTGCTTTTGTTATTTGAGACAGGGTCTCCTTGTAGCCCCAGCTGACCTGGAACTCTCTATGTAGACCAGGCTGGCCTGGAATCTCAGAGATCTTCCTGCCTCTGCTTCCTGAGTCCTGGGATTAAAGGCATGCACCCCCACCCCCAGCCAAGGCAGGACTTTTTTTTTTTTTTTTTTTCTTTTTGAAACAGGGCTCCCCTGTAGCCCCACGCTGTCCTGGAACTTACTATGTAGACTAGGCTGGCCTCGAATTCACAAAGATCCGCCTGCCTCTGCCTTCCAAGTGCTGGGATTAAAGGCATGTGCCACCACACCTGGCCAAGACAGGACTTTTAAAATGAGAGCACACATATTATTTCAGTCCTTAATAAAGAAAAATGTGGACTAGGGATGTAGCTCAGTTGGCAAGGGTGTTCGCCTAGTATACAGGAGGCATCGTATCAACTGAACACGATGGTGTGGGCCTATAATTCCAGCACTAGGGAGGTGGTAGGAGGATTAAGTTCAAGGTCATCCTTGGCTACACAGCAAGTTTAAAACCAGCCTGGGCTACCCAAGACCATCCCCCCCGCAAAAAAAAAAAAATGCTGTGCATATCCTCAGGTCATGCATACACCTCAGCAACCCCTCAGTTATCTCAGTAAGTAAGCTCAGTAAATTCATTGGTTCCCCAGTAAAACTTTAATCAAACATTGGCTTGACACTAGAACCTTGAAAGGGAATAAGCATTGCTTAGCATCCCCAGGAAAAGAAGTCTCACAACAGATGAAAAATTTATTTGTTCATGCTATTATGTCTCATATAATTGTTAAAAGAAAAAAGAAAATGAGAATGTAAAAGACGTTAAAAGGATATAGGAATGGAGATATTTTCCAAAATAGAAAAAATGAGAAAGCCTAAGAAAGTGATGAAGGTCTGTGTAGGTTTGTTATGACAGGCCACAGACAGGTTTAAAGTTGGGGCATTAAACAGGAGATACTCAGTGAGACTAGGCAAGGGCTGAACACTGACGGAACTCGGTCCTGACTGAGGCAATGTTTCTGTTGGGGGCTCAGCAATAGAAATGATCCGTCTATGACAAGGGTCACTACATATCAGTTACTGCTCTGCCACCATCACACTGGCAGGCCTGATCGCTATGAGAGAATGGAAGCCAACAGAAACCGAAAAGTTATTATTATTTGGAAGCACCATTCCAACCTCTGCTATACTGTGAGACTGTCTCAAAGCAAACAAATGACATATAAGGAAGAGTCTTCATGAAGAAATAGCAAAAACCCTCAGTAGGACTTTTTCTTTCTTTTTTTTAAAGTTAACTGCCATTTACTGAACATCTATAGTACACTAAATTTTAACATAGGTTATGACATGTAATCCCTTTAATAATGCTGAAAATGCATATTACTATCATTTTCATTTTTTACTTTATTTAAAAAGTATTCTTTCTTTACTTTCTCTTGAGACACAGTCTTGCCATATAGCTTAGATTGGCCCTAAATTCACTATGTATCTCAAGTTGGCCTTAAACTAAAAGAGATCCTCCTACGTCAGCCTCCTAAGAACTGAGGTCACAGGTTTGTGCCACCGTAACGAGCCTCAGTAAGATTCTTTTTATTTTTTTTGTTTTCTTTTTGAGGCAGGGTCTCCCTGTAGCCCCAGCTGGCATAGAACTTGCTATATAGACCAGGATGCTCTCAATATCAAAGAGATCCACTCTACCTGCTCTGCCTCCTGAGTGCTGGGATTAAAAGTGAGTGCCACCACGCCTTTCCTTAAAATTTTTTTTTAAAGGTTTTGTTCTTTTTTTTGGTCTTTTTTGAGACAGGGTCTCCCTACAGCCCCAGCTGGCCTGGAATTTGTTATTTAGATCAGGCTGGCCTTAAACTCAAAGAGATGTGGCTGCCTCTGCCTCTGCCTCTGCCTCTGCCTCTGAGATTAAAGGCATGCACCACCATGCCCAGCTTTTGGTTCATTTTATTTTTTATTTATTTTTTGCAAATTTCACACACTACATTTTGATCATATGAAGATTCTCTCCCCTATCTGCATCCTTCTTACTACCCTGTCCAATTTCAGTAGTCTATTATATACGCTTCTATCCTATAGAGTCAAATTTGTGTTCCAGATAACTCTTAGGTGTGGATTCATCCACTGGAGCCTGCTTAACCTACCAAGAGTCTCACCCCTAAAGAATGACTCTCTGCCTCCCAACAGCCAGTAGTTGCCAATAGTTCCTCAGGTAGGGTTGGTTTAAGTTTTCATGGGACTTGTGCATGCTGTCACCATTGTTGTGAGTCCACATGAGTAACTTCCCAGCTGTCTGGAAAACTATTTCCCTGTGGCCATCTACAATCCTTCTGGGGCAGATCCCTGAGCTTGAGGCAGAAGGTTGATATAGGTGTCCTATTCAGGGATAAGCACTCTATAGTCTCTTATTCTCTGCATGCTGGCCAGTTGTGGGTCTTTGTGTTAATCACCATCTGCTGGATAAGAAGGCTTCTCTGGTGAGAATTCAGAAATGCACTAATGACTGCAGGTCTGGAAGGACTCCCCAGTATTAATTCTTAACCACTGAGCCATCTCTTCAGTCTTCAGTAAGATTTCCTGATACTGAAGAAGAGATACCTCAGTAAGAGCATTTTTTTTGTTTTTTGTCTTTTTGAGACAGGGTCTCCCTGTAGCCCCAGGTGTCCTGGAACTCACTATGTAGACCAGGCTGGCCTTGAACTCACAGGGATCCATCTGCCTCTGCCTTCAGAGTGCTGGGATTAAAGGCGTGTGCTACCACGCTGGGTCAAAAGCACTTTCTGTGGGGCTGGAGAGATGGCTTAGGGGTTAAGAGCACTAGCTGTTTTGCAGAAGGCCCAGATTCGATTCCCAGCACCCACATGGAAGCTAACAACTGTCTGTGAACTCCAGTTCCAGGGGATCCAATGCCCTATTTTGGCCTTCACAGGCATTGTACATACACGGTGTACTTACATACATGCAGACAAAACATTCATATACATTAAAAAGAAAAGATTTCCTGATATTGAGTGAGAGAAATGATCCTGGAGTTCTGGCTGGATTAGGTTTTTTTTTTGGTCTTTTTGAGACAGGGTCTCTCTGTAGCCCCAGCTGGCATGGAACTCACTATGTAAACCAGGCTGGCCTTGAACTCACAGAGATCCACCTGCCTCTGCCTCCTGAGTGCTGGGATTAAAGACGGATTAGTTCTTTTACAACACTCACAATGTCTTCTTCTATGTCTACCCTGAAACCCCATCTTATCCCATCTTCCACCCAACCCTGTGAGACTACTCACTATAATTACTTTCAGGCAGAGTTTTACTATTTTTGAATTTGCTACTATATGAGTGATGTTCTCTACATTTTCTCAATACCTTCCACAAACAAACGTCCACACAAAATGACTTACTCATGAACAGCATACACAAAGAGAGCATCAGTAACGATGACAGAAAACCTCTGGAAAAGTAGCGTCCTTGAGCTGCAGTAGTTCAGGTTATGGATATTAAGCATCTCTTGATCAAAGTATTTGGCAACATGTGATAGAACATACTCAAACCATGCAAAGAAAGGTGGGTAATCCAAGGTCCACTCTGAAGTTGCCTATGGTAAAAAAATTAAAATTAAGACATATTGTAAGTAACCTTTAGGTGTAAAGACCTAAAACTGTTCATTCTCTGGCCTTGCAAAAAAGCACAATAACATGAAATTGGATTTAAAATGCCCTCAATATTTAGAGCAATTAGGTCATGGCAGACATGGAGGCACACTTCTATAGTCCCAGCTCTGAGCAGGTTGAGGCAGGAGGGTTTTGAGTTTCAGTCTAGGTTACACAGTAAGATTTTGTTTAAAAACATAGTAAGACAAAATAAAATATTAATATCACATAATAGCCTTAAAACTAAACCTAGGCTGTGTAAGAGCTGGGACAGTAATCACGATCCCCCACGCTGTTCCTGTTCTTTTCCTGTGTTCACTGGGTTCTGCCTGGATCTCCACAGGGACTATGAGTCAAGGTCCCTCTGCTCACTTTTATTTTTAAGTTCTTTTTTTTTTTTTGTAGTACTGGGGATTGACTTTAGGCAGTGCTGTAACACTTGGACACATTGCAAGTTCAGCCCTGTTTTATGAGAATGAATGGCAGACCACTATTAGGTGGTCCCACTTAACAGGTCCCACTGTTAAGTCATAAGCTGTTGACTCCCCCTGCAGGTATAAATAGCTTTAGATGGCATGAGGTAAACCCAGAGGTGCTCTGCCAGAGAACCCGGGCTATGAACACACTAAGCTCTTTTCTGAAAAATCCCCCTCTAATTCCAAGTTTTAAACAAAATGATCCACTGAACTGAGGAAAGAAAAACTACAAATTTTGTTTTTCTTTTTTAATAAATTCTTTTAAAAATTTATTTATTTATCTATATTACGTGTATGAGTGTGATGCTTGCATGTATCTACGGGCGCCTGTGTCGTGCAGTGCCTGTGGAGGACATAAGAGGGTGTTGGATCCCCTGGAACTGGAATTACGACTGGTTGTTAGCTGCCATGTAAATGCTGGGATTTGTTCCTACAAGAACAACCAGTGCTCTTAACCAGTGAGCCATCTCTCCAGATCCCCAAATTCTGTTTTTCAATCTCATTCTTTAAAACTACTATTTTAATAGGATACTAACAGAGTAGTGTCTTTATAACTTAGACATATTGAGTAGAAAATACCTATAAATGATTTTTTTTCCTAGGGTATGGATAATAAAAAAAGTTTAGGAAAGTTCATGTAAAAAATTTACTGTCAGCCCAGCATGGTGGCGCACACCTTTAATCCCAGCACTCAGGAGGCAGAGGCAGGCAGATCTCTGTGAGTTCAAGGCCAGCCTGGTCTACATAGTGAGTTTCAGGACAGCTGTGGCTACAGGGAGACCTTGTCTCAAAAAGACCAAAAAAAGAAAAAAAAATTTACTGTCAATTTTCTTATTTTTATATATGTGTTTTGCCTGCATATTAGTGTACTACATGCATGCAATGCCCTCAGAGGCCAGAACAGGGCGTGAGATCCCTTGGAATTGGAGTCACAGATGGTTGTTAGCTGCCATGTTAGTTTTAGGAACCAAACTTGGGTCCTGTGCAAGGGCAGCCAGTGCTCTTAACTGCTGAGCCTCTCTCCAGTCCCTTTATTGCCAATTTAGATTTTACTAACATTTATAGCTTCTAGCCACAATTTCAAATGTCAAAGCTCACTCTCCCCTGGAAGTACCATTTTTTTTTTTATTGGAAGTCTACAAGATTTTCTGACTTTATTTTACTGAAATATGTACAGATTTTAAAACAGGGAGGCAGTAAAGAAATGGGCTGCTGCCTAACAGATGGTCATTTTTCCAGAATAAAGTATCCTGTGTTTCCTTTGCTGTCCCCAGTCATCCCATACTACCCAGAAGCTCTCTTTATGACACCCCAAACTGGGCACAGAGGGCCTCTGGGCCTCAAGGGTTTGTATCTGGGGCCATCCCCTATCTAGCTTCTGAGAAGCTGGTGTGGCTATAAGCTAATATTTCATCCCAGCCATTCCATTAAGGGCCACTGGAGATAAGACTCAAATCTGGGACTCCTGACTGTAAACCCACCAGCTCAGGAGGCTACAACAAAGCTGGTCCTCAATCAGGGAAACAACTGGCCTGTCCATATGAAGATGGAAAAAATTTTTTTCACTCAAGAGATGACATTCTAGTCACTTCCCCAACTACTTGACCAATCTAAGGCCAGACAAGAAAGGAGAAGTCACATTGAAGGAGAACTCCATAAAAAAAAAAAAAAGGATCTACTTTTTGCCTGTCACCCTCCTGGGAGAGCATGAAGACACCACCTGGCCAACTGCACACCTGTCAAGGCTCATCTCCTGCTGTGAGCCTCCTTGCCAAACCAGAGTTGGCTTAATTGGTTTTTCTTCTTTGTTGGCAGAAAGAGCAAGGACATATGTCATCACTAGCATCTCTTTTATATAAACCTCTTCTATATCCTAAGGTAATAGGTAGTAGTGAAGGTTATAGGAGGAACTGAAAGAACGCTCAGAAAGAACGACAGAATGAAGAGAAAAGGACTAAGCTGGGTGTGGTGGCACACGCCTTTAATACTAGCACTAGGGAGGCAGAGGTAGACAGATCTCTGAGTTTAAAACCAGCCTGGTCTGTATAGCAAGTTCCAGGCCAGTTGGGACTACAGGGAGACTCTGTCTCAAAAAGACAAAATAGATAGATAGATGATAGATAGATAGATAGATAGATAGATAGATAGATAGATAGATTGATTGATAGATTGATAGATAGGGACTATAAACAGATATAGATAGATAGATAGGGACTATAAACAGATATAGATAGATAGATAGATAGATAGATAGATAGATAGATAGATAGATAGGGACTATAAACAGAACCAGAGTTGGCTTAATTGGTTTTAATTGGTAGCAGCTTAAAAAATGTTTTTGAAGATGTATTTTTATCTGTGGGTAACAACAGAGGCTTGAAGAAGGTGTTGGATCCTTTGGAGCTGGTGATACAGGAGTTTGTGAGCCACATGAAGTGGGTACTAGGACACGAACTACTGTCATCTTACAGAGCAGTAAGTGTTCTTAACTGCTGAGCCATCTCTCCAGCCCTAGAGTAGCAGCTTTTTAAACGTGTGCAAAAATGAGAAGGAACAGAGAAAAAGGAGGAAATGGCAAGACAGCCTTTTCCTCGATAGGCTGTAAGTCATTATACAAATAATGCTAATAATTATTTATTGACTAACTGTTCCAAGCATTGTGCTCAGTGCTTCCCATGTTATATTTATTCATTTTCTATTAATTATCATTGCATAATTGGAGACAGCGAGGCTTTGCAAGGTTAAGCACCTTGCCTATACTCATCATGGTCATTAAGTAGCAGAGCTCAAAGCCAAACCAGCAGTCTGAAACCATAGCCTAAGCACTTGACTACTAGGCTACATAGTACTTTTCCTCACTGGTATCAACACATGCAAACTGTAATATCTCAAGCTAAAATAATCATTTAAAGTTCCCTAATATTTCTAGTAAATAATTATAGTATTACTATATAAAAATAAACCTAGTTCCTTAGGGCAACTGTTTCCAGGCTTTCTCAATATTAAGGACTATGCTGATTTGGAAAAATAGAACAGGAGCTGGAGATGCAGCTGTTGGTAGTACTTGCCTAGTATGCATGAAGCCTTGGGATTCCCAGTACTTTATAAACTGACTAATCCTCAGTTACACAGTGAGTTCAAGGCCAGCCTGGTCTACATGAAACTGTTTAAAAAAAAAGACAGCAGAGTGTGGTGGCGCACACCCTTAATCCCAGCACTCAGGAGGCGGATCTCTCACTGACCTGAAGATCAACATTGGCTTGGGTGGTTGGCTGGCAAGCTCTAGAGAGAGTCTGTCTTTACCTCTCTAAAGTTAGGATTATAGATGCACTGGCACTGTGCCTAGCCTTTTAAGTGGGTACAGGAGATCTGAACTCAGGTCTTCATGCTTGTATAGAAAAATCTTTACCAACTGAGCCATCTCCTCAGCCCCAGAAAAGTATCTTCCTAAGAAGTGTACTGTGTCAATTTTTAAAAATATTTTATTTTTATTTTATGTGTATGAGTGTATTGCCTGCATGTAAGTGAGTGCACCCATGTTGTGCAAGGCCTCAGAGGTCAGAAAAGGGCTTTGGATTCCCCTGGAACTGGAGTTAAGGACGGTTTTTAGCTACCATGTGGGTGCTGGGAATCGAACCTTGCTCCTCTGCAAGAGCAGTCAGTGCTCTTAACCACTGCGCCATCTCTCCAGCCCAAATTTAAAAAAAAAAAATGATTGTGTATGCTTGATTTATATGTGGTGTGTGTGTGTGTGTGTGTGTGTGTGTGTTTGCTCACACCAACGCACACAAGTGCAGAGGAGAGTTCTTTTTTAAAAAATCATTTTGTGTGTGTGCGCACATAGCAATCAAAGGACAACCTGCAGGAGTTGGCCCAGGGATTGAGCTAGGGACTGAACTCAGGTTGTCAAGTTTGGCAACAGGTGCCTTTTCCTGCTAAGCCAACTCACTGGCCCAGAGAGAACACTGTTTAAGTGTCAGTTCTCAAAATCTAGCATGGGTTCTAGGGATCTAAATCAGGTCCTCAGTCTTGGCAGCAAGCATCTTTATCCTCTGAGCCATCTTGCTGGCCCAAGAACATAATTTCTTTAAAATTTGTTTTTATTGAATTTTTGTGTATTTCATATAGAACATCTCAAACAATCTTAATCGTCTTTATACACTGGTCCCCACTGGCACCCTCCCATAGCACCCCCCCCCAAATGGAGCTCATATACTCTGTTATCCCTGTTAAGGCCCACTGTGTCAAGTCAGTGTCCCCAGACGTTCCTCAGTACAAGTCCATCCGTTGAGGTCTAGTCAGCCTGTGCAGAGTCCCTTGTTTTAGGAAGATCAGTTCTTCTTCACCTAGCAGCAATCAGTTGCCAATATTTCTTCAAGTAAGATTGGGGCAGAACACAATTTTTATAGATTAATAATAAACCTTTCTCTTTTTTACAGTGTTGGAGGTCTACCCAGTACATGATAGGTAAGTGCTCTATACTCCCAGCCCTGGAAACCTGCTTTAACATCAATAATTTTTAGGTGATTTTACATAGAACTTAAAAAATATATTTATTATTTTTATTTTATGTATATGAGTGTCTTGCCCGCATATAGGTAGGTGCGCCCAAGCTGTACAATGCCCATGGAAGTTAGAAAAGTGTTGGATCCCCTGGAACTGGAGTTAGGATGGTTGTTAGCCACTGTGTGGGTGCTGGGAAAAAAAATCCAGGTCCTCTGCAAGAGCAGCCAATGTTCTTAACCACTGAGCCATTTCTCTAGCCCACAGCACTTTTTTTTTTTTTTTTTTGAGATAAGATCTGGTTATATAGTCCAGGCTAACCTTATATAGCCATCTTCCTGATATTATAGGCATGTGCCACTGGCTTATACATCATCTTAAAAACATGTTTTAAAGGTGAAAATTAAAACTTACCTCATAATACCACTGAGATATTGGCAAACTGTGAGTGATAGCAAGCCAATTTCGGTGTACTTCAAAATCCGTGGAATGGCTACACAAAGCAATTACAAGAATAAAATTAGGTTTTGTTTTGTTTTTCGGGACAGTCCCCAGCCACAGCTAGCCTGGAACTTGCTACATAGACTAGGCTGACCTCAATCTCACAGAGATTCACTTGTCTCCACCTTCCAAGTGCTGTGATCACAGCCTGCTAAAATGAGACTTTTGAAACATTTCTAATTTCTGTAACTATGTTTCTAAACAACCTAAATAGTCATAGCTCATTATATCCTATAAGACAGAAACAGGCACTACAAGTCTTGTAACAACTCTCTGATCTGGAGGCCAGATTAGACTTCCTTCTGAAAAGTTGTTGGAGGACCTAGGAGTCAGTGAAGCTAACCAAGGGCTGACAAAACACTTAAGGCAAGTACCCAGGACATCGCACAGAAGTGATTTTCTCACAAACAACGCTAACAAAATTCATAACTTAGAAAAGGCCTTAAATAGTGTCAGCACATGTGGAAGCTATGGGAGTTGAACTCAGGTCATCAGGCTTGGTGCCAGGCCCCTTTATTCACTGAGTCATCTCATCAGCCTAAGGGTCTTTTTTGGTTTTGTTTTGTTTTGAGACAGGGTCTCCCTGTAGCCCCAGCTGGCCTGGATTCACTATGGAGACCAGGCTGGCCTTGAACTCACAGAGATCTGCCTGCCTCTGCCTCCCGAGTGCTGGGATTAAAGGCATGTGCCACCACGCCCAGCCAGCCTAAGAATCTTTTAAAATTTTTTTTTTTTTTTTTGTGACAAGGTCTCATTATGTAGCCCTAGCAGGCCTCAAATTTGTTTCATAAACCAGACTGATCTTGAATTTGCATCAATCTTCCTGCCTTTGCCTTCAGAATCCTGAGATTATAGGAAGGAGCTACCATACCCACCTAAACAAGTAGTGTTTTGAGGAAGTGCTGTAACACTGAGTTATATTCCCAGCCTTGGAAACTCTTTCTAATTAACATCAATAATATTTAAGTATTTTACACATCAACTCTGACCCCCCAAACCCCTCTAGACAGGGTCTAGATATATAATTCAAGGTGGCCTTGACTCTCACTCTCTCTCTCTCCCTCTCTCCAATTATTTATTTGGGGGGGGGTGAGCTACAGCATGTGTGGAGCCAGAGGACAACTTTGTGGGAGTTGGTTCTCTCCTCTCCCTTTCACCATGTAGACTCTGGGGATCAAATTCAGGTTGTCAGGCTTAGTGGCAAGTACCCTTACTCACTGGGCCACTTCAAAAAACCTTGGCTTTGAATTCTTTTTTTTTTTTTTTTTTAATTTGCTTTTGGGGACAGGGTCTCACCATATAGCTCTGGCTGGCCTGGAACTCTTTATGTAGCCCAGGCTATCCTTGAACTCATAGATTTGCCTGCCTCTGCCTCTCCAGTGCTGGAACTAAAGGCGTGTGCCGCCATGCCCCAGGGGGCTTTTAATTTTTTTGATCCTCCCATCTCCACATCCCAAGTGCTGGGATTATTAAAACTAGTATCACCACACCAGCTCAAAGGTTCCTTTGCCTGCTAAATCAGCTATTATTCCACCACCTGTTTTCAATGACTATGGAATGTTGTTCATACACAAATATCCTTTATTACGTTTATCATTTATATCACTTACTTTTGAGACAGGGTTTCACTGTTTAATATAAATTGGTTTCCAATTCATGATCCTCTTACCTCAGCTTCCTGAGTGCTGGGATTATAGACATAGGCTACCATGCCTTACTTCAATTTATATTATTTTTTACCTCATTTTAGTCAGATGCGGAGAAGCAATCCATCAGTAACCAAAAACCTTTAATGCAAGTTGTCAGTTGTCTTTTACCTTGGTGCTTTGTAGCCAGCAGTTCAGAAAGTTTGCCAAATTAATGGATGGCTAAGTAAATAAATGAACATGAGTGGATGCATAAAATGAACCTGTGAACAATATAAATATCCCAGTACAAAGACTATAAGCCACTAGGTGGCAAGAGGTAGACAGAGAAGACTTGGTTCATAGTGATTACCATGGATCTCCAAGAGACTAAACTTCCATTCAGTCTATAGTCTAAGGCAAGTAAAGAGCCTGTAATCCCAGGACTCATCCTGAGGCAGGATGATCTCCAGTTTGAGGCCAGCCTGGACTACACAGCGAGATCTTGTCTCAAAACTAAGAACAACAACAAATCAAAAAGCTAGACTTGGAGTTAGAGAGATGGCTTGGCAGTTAAGAGCACTGGCTGCTCTTGCAGAGGACCAAGGTTCAGTTTCCAGCACCCACATGGCAGCTAACAATCATCCTTCACTGCAGTTCCAGGGGACCCAACATCCTCTTCTGGCCTCTGCTGGCATGCATGACATGGGTGTACTTACATACATGCAGTCAAAATATATAAAACAAAAACTGAAAAAAAAAAAGCTGGGCTTGGTGGAATACATCTGTAATTATAACACTCAGGAAGGAGAGACAGGAGGATTGCTCCAAGTCTGAGGCCTAAACAAACAACAGAAACCATTTTGTATAGAGGTATTCTCTATAGAATACTTGCTCATTTGATGCTGATGCATGAATGAACTGTCATAAATAGTTGTAATTATGCTATGCAAGTTTAAACCAAAGGGAGAGAATTTTAGCTTTGTAGTAGCAGCAATTCATTTTTTCTAATTAGTGAACAAGAATGAAAGAAACTTTAGCTCGATGAAACAGTAGTTGAAAAAAATGCAAACCCAAGACTAGGAACATAACTCAAACATCAAGCAACTACAGTGATGTATTACAGTCAGGACACTGTCTGAAACATGCACCTTAGGCAATCTGTCACTGTGCAAACATTAGAGAGCACAGGTTACACAAACGAAGACAGCTATGACATCAGTAGAGAATATAATTGTACAGGACTATCACTGTATATGCAGTCCACTCATGACCAACACTGTCAGTATAAGACAAATGACTGTACTTAGTATGCACTGTGATATATAGGTTAATAAATGACCATAGTGAATATGAAAGACAACTAGGCAGGTATTCTAGGATAAGATTTATCCTGGATCAAGGGCAGTATTCAAAGTAACAACCCCGTTCAGAGTTGTTTACTCTAGTTTACCCACTCTAGACATTTCTAGACTAAAATTAACTAAAGACACAACCACCTTATACACGTCTACTTTTAAAAAGGAGTGGCGAGCCCTTTCTTCTGATGTGAAGGATGGTTTTGCTCTTAGCTATGCTTTCTGCCAACTAATCCCTTTTTTCCCCAAATCCCTATAAGTTGCTTTGCTGCCCAATTCATTGCAATGTGTATACAACTACATATACAGCAGTATGGCATGCCCCCTACACAAACAGCTGATACCTAAGAGAGCTTGAATGAAAGAGTGAAAAAAACTAAACTAGAAGGTGGGAGGATCCAGAGTGAAGGGAGAAAGAAAAAGAGGACCCAGTGGAAGGCGCCTGCGTGTGTGTGTGTGTGTGTGTGTGTGTGTGTGTGAGAGAGAGAGAGAGAGAGAGCAGAAAGTGAAGGGGGGAAGGGAAGTCTATTAATAAAATATGCACACTGAGTACCCATTGCATACACACTTGGTGGTGGTTTCTGGCTTCGATGCTTTGGGTTTTGGCCCTACACCCAAGTTTACACATATTTTTTCCCAGCCTCGTGTTATCTGACACCGCTTACATTATCTTGTGTCACTTTTCTTCCTACACCGCTCACTCTTCGGCCCGAACGGTCACTTTATGTACCCAGAGTCCTGAGTTCTTTCCTACTACCAGGCTTTTGCACTTAATCTTTCCTCTGCCCAGTTGGAGTAAAAGCCTTGCCACGCAGTTACCCTTACAAGTCATAACAATCTGAGACTCTGCCACTACCAACTCCCCCGGGGACGGAGTCTTGAACTGCCTGGATCAGCCCTGCGTCTACTAGCAGCAGACTATACCGGCTGGATGGTGGAGTGGTTGCATTAACCCGCCTATTAGGGATGAGGACCAGAGGCTCCGAGACTTGAGACTGGCCTCGAGTCGATCGTCAGGTCTCACCCTGGCCAGACAAGACTAGATTCTAGTTCTGGGGTTAAGTATCCATCCGCGGTGCGAACCAGGCAAGGCGAGTGGAGACAACATATGGCGATTCTGCGCACATCCGATAGTCCCCGCGGCTCTCCCGCCCCGCCCTGGGCCCTGCAGGTCCTTACTAGGTGGGAATGAGAAGACATTTGAGGAGAGTCACCCCGAGCGCCAGAATCGAAAACCAATGGCCGCAACCTGTGCCAGCCCGGGGCGCCGCCATTGCTGCAGCACCGCGCGCTGTCAGCCAACGAGACCCACTTCCGGGATGCCGCGCATGCGTGTCTGGCACTCCGAGGCGTTGCCCGCGGGCTGTGCGCACGCGCCAGCTTCTCAGGGCACTGGCTAGCGAGGGCACTAGGATTTGAATCTTCCGCCCCCAGACTCCATCGCGCAGGCCGGGAGGACGCAACTGCGTCTGCGCCGGTTTCTGTGGCAACAGACTTATTTGTTTATTCGTTTATTCATTGAGTTAGTTATTATTTAGTTATTTATTTAGTTGTTAGTACATACATATTCAAATACTGGTTGGTCGTCTGCTTTGTATCTTGATGTTGGAAAACCTAGGTGAGGAAAAAAAAACCCTCATTATCTTACCCCAGAGATGGTCAAAGGGGTAGTGAAGGAGGCACTGTTATCAGTTAATTACTGTAGATGAAAGCTCCGAGGCCCGCCAGAAGCAGAAGTTAAATCCATGTAGAGAATGGTATGAGCCTTATACAGAGGTGAAAACCATTCTGATTTTAGGAGCTCTGAGCTAGGTTGTCAGTGCAGCACCTGCCTGATTGGGTCTCATCCCAGAAGCAGGCTCGAGTCTTTACAACACTTAATTGCAAATAATCTAGGCATCTTGTTAAAATTCATACCCTGATTCAGCAGGCCTAACAAACTCCTAGGTGACGTCAGTTCTGTGGTACACAAGGCTGAGGCACATGTCTTACCTCTCTTATGTACTATGTGATTTTGACACATTAAACCTTGGCTTTCTTTTTTTGTAAATAAGGATTAAAATTTTTTTTTTTTTTTTTTACTTCATAACCTAGTAAGGATTAAGAGAATGAATGAAATGGTGCCAGGAAACAACAAGTTCTCAGTAATGTGTCAGAGAAATTAAATACCTTATTGAGAGATTTACAGCAAGGTATTAAAATGAATTCACAGCTGTATATGCCACACACATGTATATAACACTCAAATTTATATCTCAAACCCAGCCCTCTTCTCTGACCTCCAGACTCATTTCCAACTGTCTTCCTGACATCTCTCCGGTGTTTGCTCTCTCCCTCTCTTCCCTTCTCCTCTCTCCCTCCCACTTGCTCTCTCCCTCTTCCTCCCCCTTCTTTTTCCTCCTCTCTCATCATTTCTCTCCTCTTGTACCTCTCTCCTGAGATTGGGGATTGAATTCAGAGCCTCACACATACTAGCTAGTGCTTCACTATTGAGCTTCACACACACACACACACACACACACACACACACACACACACACACACAGTTTTTTAAATGCTTATTTTATGTTAGAGATTTTGAGGATATCAATATGTATAGCCAAGGCTGGCATCAGACTTACTGTAGAACCCAAGTTGACCTTCACCTTTTAATCCTCCAGCCTCAGCCTCACAAGCATCTGGGATTACAAGCATGTATACCACATCTAGTTAAGTCCCTTTCCTATAAAATGACATGCACACATCCTAAGGATTAGGATATGGATATCTTTGGTTTACCACATACCTCAAACTCATTATGTCCAAAACTGAACTCATGATATTTTAATGTTAACCACTCTGAGAATGACATCAGCGATCCTGCACTTGCTCAATGGGCTATGTCACTCACTATGGTGGTGGTGTTTTTCTCTTAGAGACAGGTCTTTCTTTGTTGCCCAGGTTAGTTTCACACTCCTCTACTTAAACAATCCTCCCTCCCCAGCCTCCTCAGTAGATGGTACTAGAAATACGCACCACTGTGTCCTGTTACTGTGAATTGAACTAACACAATACCCATTCCCAACCCCTGCCATCCTCTCCCATGTCTTCTAATAAGTCTAGAAAAGTTAAACTGTTGATTGTCCAGTTTAACACCTGGACAGTTGGAACGCCCTGATGACATAGTTGTGGCTGGCAGGACTAAGCAGAAATCTGCATTGGAGTTACTGGGCAGTATTCTCCTTTCCTGATGAAAGAGATAATTTTTGTGACTAGACTAGTGAGGGCAGGGAGACAAGGTTTCATGTAGCTCAGGTTGGCCTCTGTTTCCCAAGTGCTGGAATTGCAGGTGTGAACCAAATGCCCATCTTGACTGCTGCTTTGAAAAGCTGCTCCACCCCTGAGGACTGGTGCAGCTTTATTGTCAGAGAAAACCCTTGAACTCTCTCCCTTTAAAAACAAAATTATTATTTTTATTTTATGTGTATGAGTGTTATGCCTGCATGTATGTAAGTGCACCCGTTTTGTGCAATGCCCACAGAGGACAGAGAGGCTGTTGGATCCTACAGTTGTTAGCTGCCATGTGGGTGCTGGGAATCAAATCTGGGTCTTCTGCAAGAACAGTCAGTGTTCTTAGCTGCTAAGCCACCTCTCCAGCCCCTCTCCTTTTCTTTTTATCTACTGCATGAGATCACTGATACACTCTTTCTGTCAGATAAGGCCCCAGGCACTAGCTGAGATCACTGTCAAGGACTTAAGGAAGTTGTGCAGGAGAGAATGGAAACAATAATTAAAGTTTATTTACTTTTATTTTATGTATATGAGTGTTTTGCCTGCAGCACATGTGTGTAATGCCCGAGGAGGCCAGAAGAGGATGTTGGATCCCTGGAACTGGAGTTATAGACTGTTGCTAGTTGCCATGTGGGTGCTGGGAACTGAAAACTAGGTTCTCTGCAAGAGCAGCCAGTGCTCTTAACTGCTGAGCCATCTCTCCAATCTGAAAATATTTTTTAAAATTTTTATTTATTAATTTTATTTTCTGCGTATGAGTATATTGTCTGCATGTGTGTAAGTGCACCTGTGTCATGGGAGAAGAGGGTGTTGGATCTCCTGGAACTGGAGTTATGGATGGTTGTTAGTTGCCATGTGGTTGCTGGGAATCAAACCCAGGTCCTCTGCAAGAGCAATCAGTGCTCTTAATTGCTGAGCCATTTCTCCAACCCCCAAAATATTTATTTTTAATTTTTTAGATTTATTTTTATTTTATGTGTATCAGTGGTTTGCCTGCATATATATTTGCACCTGTGTCATGCAATGCCTGCTGAGGCCAGCAGAGAGTGTGGTATATTCTGGAACTGGAGTTAGCTCCCATGTGGGTACTGGGAATTGAACCTGGGTCCTCTGGAAGCATAGCCAGTGGTCTTAACTCAGCTATCTCTCCAGCCCCTATTTATTTATTTATTTATTTATTTATTTATTTATTTATTTATTTGTCATTTTGAGACCCACAGCCCCAGCTGGCCTGGAACTCACTATGGAGACCAGGCTGGACTTGAACTCACAGAGATTCACCTGCCTGTGCCTCCCAAGTGCTGAGACAACAGGCCTGCGCCATTTATTTTATTTTTAATATGTGTATGTGTTGCAGGGGAGGGTGTGTATGTGCATGCAGGAACCTGCAGAGGCCAGAGGCTTGGGTCCCTTGAGTTGGAGTTACAGAAGGCTGTGAGACATCTGACATGAACTCAGGCCCTCTGGAAAAGCAGTATATGCTCTTAATTGCTGAGCCATCCCTCTGGGCCCTAGGAGTCAAAATTAAATAGAAGAACAAGATGTGAGGAAGGAGGATGGAGAGGAAGATGGGCATGTTGAAGCAGCTTCAGGCAAACAGGCAGCTGGAGACTGTGAGGATGAGGAAGCTGATCCCTGGAGGCAGATCAGTGAGGGTACGCAGACAACCAAGAAGGAAAAGTCTAGCTTGGGGGTGGGGATAGGAGCTGTGACCTCATTGTTAAGGTTCAGATAGCCCTGCCCCCTCACCAACAGGATCCCAAGGACTTCTCATGCTCTTGAGAAAAGGGAACCTAGCTGATAAGCACCTTGGTCTTTGAAGTCAAGAGAAGCAGACTTTTCTCCACTGTTTGGCCAACACAGCAGGCTTCCCCTTTGATCTCTAAAGAGGACAGGTTTAACAGTCCTGCTCTCCCACTCCTCCCCAACTCCCGCCTTCTGCAGGAAACAGAAGCCTCCCTTTTAAAGACCCCAGCTCAAGACCCCGGCAAACATTTTCCCTGCCCAGAAGGGAATCTGTCCCATGTGTTCCTTTGCTAATAAACCCTATTTTGATGGAGTTTTATCTGTGCCTCTGTGCCTCATCATCCATTCGCTCGTTCTCTGCCAACTTTTTACCTATCACTCATCACCTTCTGCTTCTCATCTCAAAATCTAAACACAGTCGCCTTGTAGTGGAGAGCCCCACCTGTCTACTGCAGGCAGCACCCCCACAGATTGCATGACTTTGTAAAAAGTCGTATCTGTATTTTATGTGTATGAGTGTTTTGTCTGCATGTATGTAAGTATACTACATGCATGCAGTGCTTGTAGAGGCCAGAAGAGGGTGTCAGATCCCCTGGAATTGAAGTTACAGATGGTTGTTAGCTGCCATCTGGGTGTTGGGAACTGAACCAGGGTCCTCTGTAAAAGCAACCAGTGCTTTTGACCTCTGAACCATCTCTGCAGCCCCATCCTTAAAAGAATTCTTTTTTTTTTTTTTTTTTGTCTTTTTTGTCTTTTTGAGATAGGGTCTCCCCGTAGCCCCAGCTGGTCTGGAACTCACTACATACTGTTTCAGTCATTTTTAGCTCTGATGACTGAACAGACCTTGGTTCATTCTCTGCGTTCTGTTGCTCACTTGACTTGTGATGCAGTCATGTTCATTACATTCTGAAAGGAACAAAGAAAAACCTTGTGGTGGGAAAAAAGCAAAGAACAACAAAAACTAAAATTGCAGTAATTTAATTTTTATCTTTGTGTGTGTGTGTGTGGAGAGAGAGAGAGAGAGAGAGAGAGAGAGAGAGAGAGAGAGAAGAGAGAACCATGGTACACATACCTGCCACCTACATACTCCAGGCTAGCTGTCCCCGAGCTTTCAAACAATTCTCCTGTCTCTGCCTCCCATCAATCTTTGGTGTTGCAGACCCTTTTTATGTAAGCTATGAGAATTGAACTCAGGTCATCAGGCTTGCACAGCAAGTACCTTCACCCACTGAGCCATCTCACCAGCCTTCCAATAATTCTTTGTATATGCACTTATTTTTACTATAAATAGTTTTTTTTAAAATATGAGAG